ACGAGGGAAAGGTGGCGGCGTGGGTACCCTGTCCTCCCCCGAGAAGCATGGGAAAGCCTCCCGGATGGGGTCGGAGTACTAATGGGGGGTCGGAGGAGAACGCGCCGCATCGCCGATACGCCGGCGAGGCATCGGCGATGCATCGGCGATGCACCAGCGATGCCTCGCCGACGTCGTCGACGCCTCGGCGACGTCGGCGTGGAGCGAATCGGGCTCCACACCGGGCCCCACCGCCGCCGCATCAGCGATGCGGCGCGATCCTCCGATAAAACAGGGCTAGGATCGGGATAGATCGCTCCAGAGCGTTCCGGAGCGCTCTCAGAGCGTTCCGGAACGCTCTGGAGCGGCCGCGGCGCCCAAGACATCCTCCAAACACGCCGATTCTCAGAGATGTCGAGTTATCCCGATCCGGTTTTGTCCCGATCTTCGCGTCGTTTTATCCGACCCCCTCTGCTCCGACCCCACCTGGGCGACTGGGCGCCGATGCTCCGCGCCGGCCGGCCGCCTCCGACGGCGGCCCCCTCGGCGGCGGCGGCGGCGCGCGCCGCCCCAAAGCGCTGCGGCGCGGCTCCTCCGCGCCGAAGCGCGGCGGCCGGTCGGCGCCGCGCGCCGCCGCGGGCGCCCGCGGCTCGGAGTCCTCGTCGGTGCCCTTGGGAGAGCGGGCGCGCGCCGACGTCAGAGGCCTCCCAGAGGTGGGTGCGAGGGGATGAGGTCGGAGTAGTCTCTTGGACGCCCGAGGTGGGCACGGAAAGGAGGAGGGGCACGATGCCCAACAACAGATGGTGTCCCAAATCGGCAGCGGCCGCTGTCGGGCAGGCGGCCTTCTGTCCAAAATGGTCAACGTCCGCGGCGGTGCGGACAGCCAACCCGTATCAGAAGGACGCACGAGAAGGATGCAAGGGCCTTGGAGGGCCATGTCGAATCTCTGCGGGCGGGGCGCGGCCAGCGAAAGCGGCCAAGGATAAGCCGAGGAGGCAAGGCTGCAAGGGTACCCTTTGGAGGGTTTCGCATCCTTACTGTGCGGGTTGCCTTTAGATGAGGTCGGAGCAGAGTCCGAGTCCGAGCAGATAGGGTCGGAGCAGGAGTCCGAGCAGATGGGGTCCGAGCAGATGGGGGTCCGAGGAGATGGGGTCCGAGCAGGGGGGGGTCCGAGTAGATGGGGGTCGGAGCAGATGGGGGTCCGAGCACCTGGGGTTCCGAGCAGATGGGGGTCAGTGGATCGGGTCGCATCGGCGATGTCGGCGGTGTATTGGCGACGCCGGCGAAGGAAAATTCAAGCTCTGGCAGGTGCCCTGGGGGCTGGCACACGCCGACAATGGGACGAGAATCGGTGATCCTCAGAACCCAGACCCCCTCAAAGCCGCGACAACAATCATGACGCGAGGTTTCTCTATTTTCGCCCTCTGGGCGCCCTCTTCTGGCCCTGGAACAGTCAAACGGCGACTCAGGATGAGAACCTGGTGCTGGGGAATGAGTGAGTCGAGACCGCTGAGAGTCGATGTTCTAAATAATCATGACGGCGTGGGCCTGGGAGCAGGCGTCCACCGAGGCCCTTCAGCACGACGCAGGCGGTGCAATGAGGGCCGACAGAGGCTGCGTGCGAACTATCGGTGGAGCCGAGCGGGGTAAACACACAATGGGTAACCACTCGTCCTGAGGAGCATCGAGAGACTGACGCCATGATGCGATTGGCTCAAGATACTTTACACAAATTCCAAGATGTGTCCAGCGGCCCTCGTCTCTGCAGCCCGTGCGGAAGATCAGGTTACCTGGGGAATCCTGGAAATCTGAAGAAGGCTGGGATTATCATGACCTCGTGCTCCTCTGAAACATGGATCAGTGAGCATCGTTTAACGATCCTCATCCCCACCAGCGTGGACTGGGCCCCACTGGCCGATTTATCCCCCTAGATGGGGCTATAGGCTGCTCTCTTCGGGTTTCGAGGGGCATATCCCCAAACTGGGGCAGTGAGATGGTGGGAATCGGGATGAAAACGGGGATGGGGATCGGTCAAACGATGCTGAATCGAGGCTCCATGGTCGGACGCGCGGGCGCCAGACCCACGGATCGGGGAAGCACCCCCCCCTCCCCTGCGAAACGAGCGGCCGGGGCCGCCCGACCCGGCGACGCAGCGTGCGCCGCGTCTCTCTCTACGGAGATGGGGGCCCGTCGCCAATCCGCGCGCCTTGGCATTCCGAGAGGCCTACCACGACATGTTCTAAGAGCCCCAACATGTTCCAAGAACCAACAGAAGTTCTCGACATGTAAGCTTAAGTCGTGCCTGTCCCCCTACATGTGGAGTTCGGAAGAGATAAAATGATCAATACATGCGCCAACATGGTCAAACGACGCTCAAAAACAGTCCCCAGACTATGTTTGACTATTTTTGAACATTCCCCCTGTAGAGGGACAGACCCGACTTACATATAAACCCGATGCGCTAAAAAAAAGACAGTCTCAGTCAGAACTCTTCTACAAGGACAGTGCGTGCAGACCACCGAAGCTTCTTAGTTAGAACACTCTCTGGTAGGCCTATAGGCGAGCCAAGACGCTTCGCCATTGCTTCAGGTACGGGTACCTTGTCTTATGTTGCCCCCGTCATACTTAATTACTTAAGGACCACATCCCAGAAATAGCCTCGAGCACCCCGTAAAGTATCGAAACCGTGTCGAACGAGTATCGCCTCCCAGGGTCCGACAAGTGAAAACACTCAAGCTTACGTCCTTTCTTGGCGCTCGAAATTCTTCCTGGCGATCAAGGCTGAAGTAGGTTGGAGCATCATATGTCATAAGCCTTGGTCCCCGGTTGGACTTCCTCGACTGGGCCTCTCCGCTGGAGGAGGTACCAAAATTCCCATGCCGCTGCTCCCCAGACCTCTCCAGAAGTCGACGAGAATACAGCCGTGGCGACGGGATGGTCCGACATCGGTCTTGGTCTCGGTATCGATGTGCTTGTTTCCCCGGACGCTTCCGTACCGGTCGCAGTCGGTATCGATTTCGATCCGTCCAGGGCGAGCAGCGGCTTCAGTTACCTTCGCTGGTTCGCGGCCCAGGCTGCCGACCCCCCAAGCACTCGAGGTAGTTACTTTTCTGTTCATGCGTTGGCCGTTGGCCCCTTCTGGCGCCTCGGTGGGCCTCCAGGGCCGCCTTCGGTGGCAGCTCATGGGAGCCTCCCATACCAGATTGCCGACTCTTGCGAGTCGACGCTAGTCGACGCTAAATCGACGGTAATCGACACACAATTGACGCTGGTCGACGCTAACCGACCCCCGACACGAACCGACGCTAAAATCTGCGCGATCTCATCGACTCCCAGACACTGATCGACGCCAATCGACATTAAGGACGAAATTAAAAGGGTATACCAAGCTCTCATGATTTGAAAGAACGTGTTCTACCGCTGCTGGCGGAAAACCAAGGGGGTCACTACCGGTTCGAACCCTCCTTCCCCTTCGGAAAACCCGGGGGGGTCACTACCGGTTCGACCCCCCCCCAGTCCATCATGAAAAGGGGGGGGGTCACTACCGGCTCGACACCCCCCCCACCCCTCGAAAACCGGGGGGGGGGTCACTATAGGTTCGACCCCCCCCCTCGAAAACTGAGGGGGGGGCGGACAGTGGTGGGGACGGTGGTGGGGACAGTGGTGAGGGGACAGCGGGACAATGATGGGGACAGTGGGACAGTGGTGGGGACGGTAGTGGTGGAAACAGTGGTGAAGGCGGTGGTGCGGACAGTGGTGGGACAGTAGCACGGTGGGGAAAGTGGTGGGGACACTGGGGACAGTGGGACAGTGATGGGGACAGTGGTGACGCTGGGACAGCACAGTGGGAGAGCAGCGGGGACAGTGGGACAGTAGTGGGTACAATGGGGACAGTGGTGGGGACCGTGGGGAGAGTGGGACCGTGGTGGGACAATGGTGGGGAGGGTGGGGACATTGACACACTGGTGGGGGCACTGGTAGGGACAGCGGGGACAATGGTGAGAACAGTGGGGAGAGTGGGACAGTGGTGGGGACGGTGGTGGTGGGGACAGTATTTGGGGGACAGTAGGAATGTGGTGGAAACGGTGGGACAGTGGAGGGTACAGTGGTGGTGGGGACAGTGGTGAGGGCGGTGGCCAGGACGGCGGTGGGACAGTGGGACAGAGGTACAGTGGGGATAGTGGTGGGGACAGTGGGGACAGTGGTGGGAACAATGGGACAGCTCAGTGGGACAGCGGAGGAGACAGTGGGACACTGGGGACAGTGGGGATAGTACGGCACTGGATGGGGCCGTGGAGAAAGTGGGGAGAGTGGAACCTTGGTGGGAACAGAAGTGGGGACAATGGGCACAGTGCGACAGTGGTGGGGGCACTGGTGGGGACAGTAGGGACGGTGGTGGAACCAGTGGGGACAGCGGTGGTGAGGACAGTGGTGCTGGGAACAGCAGTGGGGGATGTGGTGCGGACGGTGGTAGGGACCGGGAGTCGTTTGCTGGCGGTGAGGGGGGGGGAGGGGTTCGATCCGGTAGTGACCCCCCCTGGCTTTCGAGGAGGAGGGGGGGGGGTTGAACCCGTAGTGACCCCCCTGGGTTTTCGAGGGGGGGGGGGTCGAACCGGGTTCGAACGGGTAGTGACCCCCCCTGTTTTCGAGGGGGTGTGGGGGGGTTCGAACGGGTAGTGACCCCCCCCGTTTTCTGGAGGGGGGTGGGGGGGGTTCGAACCGGTAGTGGCCTTCCTCTGGTTTTCTGGGGGGGGGTTCGAGCCGGTAGTGACCCCCCCAGCTTCGGAGGAAGAGGGGGGGGAATTTTCCACAGTGAAGCGGCGGTGGATCTTGCTCTCTCCATGATTTGCTACCGAGCCCCCGACGCTAAATCGGCGCGATCTCATCGACTCCAAAACTTGTTCCTCGCACTCGTTGAAGAGGTCGACCAGTGCCTGGCGCCCAGAAACAGGGAGGCGTCTGATGTCGCGAATGCAAATCATGTCCACGCCCTGGCCCTTGTCGGGTTCGCCCTGCATGACCGGTCGAGGTCGTTGAGCGCCCATGGGCCGTGCTCCCCCTCCTCGGCGGCCTTGGCGCGGAGGGCGGTGAGGTACCCCTTGTGATCGTTGCGTGGTGTTGCGTCGCATTTCCACATCTGCGTGAATGCAGTGGTCTTGTGGTCTATCATGTCCTTCGGGCGGCACATAGTCGTGGAGGCAGTATGTACCTCCGTTTCTCGTCGTGGCGGTGGTTTGGTGACCTTGTGGAGCGTGCCGCTGTACTTGTCAGCTTCCATAAGCCATGATCCGTACTGCTTCCTGCTGTCTCGCATGTCGATCCGCAACGCGTGCCAAACTTCCTGTTCTGCTTGTTCCGCTTGGCCATTCAGTGTCTCTAGCGGGATATAATCCAACTGATCCATACGGGTCTTCCAAGGGTCTCTGCGGAGTCGATCCGTCTCAAATTGCGTCGGACCTGTTGGGGGCAGTCCTTCCCGCGCAAGCCGTGGGCCCGCGTTGGCAAGCCCCCTTTGCGGTTGGAATCCGTGTTGACGCTCTCTTAGCTTGACTGGTGATCGCAGCATCGTCTCGGCACGGTTCCACCAGTCCATGCTGTGCGCTGCGAATCTGCGCCGTCGGCCCCCTTTTCCTTGAGCTGCTGGCCTGATTGTGACGTGGCGCCCCCCGCCCGCAGAATGCTGCTCTTTTTTGTTGGACTCCATCTTGTGCACCATGCAGCGGAACTTCTCCAGGGTGCCGGTGAAGCTTTGATAGCTTCGTCCGAGACGCTCTGCGCCCCTTGGGTCTGCGCGGTAGGCGGCGTTCTTCTCGACGTAGCCTGAGGCCTTCTGATCGTCTTCCTTGTGCTGCAGAATGCCAGCAGACACCCAAGTGTTGTCCATTGCGATTGTGTTGACTCCGGCTTCGTTGGCCAGGGCCATCCCCGTCGTCGAGAATGTCGATGCACGCTGTGCTCCGTCCTGCGTGCCGACTGCGCCCCTGCCAGTGCATCTGCGTTGGTCCACTATGATTGTTGCCCTCTCGTCGTTCTGCTCGATCTCGCCCCTGTCCGACATGCGAAGATGGCGTATTTCTGCTAGTAGATGAGGTCGTGCGTGTCAAGCCTCGTCTCCATGTCCGTTTGGGTGCTTCCGCCAATGTGGCAGTGGTCGAGGATGATGATGACTGCGAGAACTCAGGTGGTGTTAGCTGTGGTTGAGACGCCTGGTTGTATTGTGCGCGTTTCTGGCACGTTGCCCTCTTCTTGCTCGTTCGTGCTGGTTTAGGTCGAGGTGGGTGTAGAGATGGTCTGGGTAAATGCAACCGTCTGCTCTCGTTTGCTTCTGATGAAGCACGCATGTTGGCGGTCAGTCCTGCATGCGGCCTCCATGGCGCATCGTAGATCGGTCTCGCTCCTCGCACTGGCCGTTGGCCCCCTTCGATTGCCAGCGCGCAGTCGACGTCGGAGTGGACGTCGACGAGGTTGCAAGCGCGCGCGTCGCCGGGTAGGCCTGTGACGCCCGTCGCTCCGAGCGCTGTCGGCCAGCCCCTCTCATCGAATTCTTGGTGGCTCATGTTAAAGTCACCGCAGACGAGCCGCGGCATAAAAAGGAAGTTCCGAAAAGTGGCCAGCAACGTCAACTTGCGCGTGCTCGCGCCGCGTTGCGCGCTGCTCCACGGGACGAGGCATAGGGAGATGATGACCGGCGACGCCCCCTCCAGGCGCAGCGCGACTGGAGTCCAGTCGCACGCGTCCAGGTCACCAGGCTGACTGTGGCTGCGCGCGGTGGTGGCGGTCCCTGGCTTCGCGCGGTGCTTGACTGAGGCGACCGCCAGGTGCCCCTTCGCGATGGCAGCCGCGCCCCCCCCTGGCGCCCGTCAGGCTCTCTCGCGAAGCCCGCCTTCTGCAAGTCGCGCCCCGCGTTGTCGATCTGCGCCCGAGGTATGCGGTCTCCCGCAGCGTGTAGACGTCGTGCCATTCGCCAAGTCCATCGCGACGCATCCAGCCCACGACCTTGGGCGCCCACGCGGTGGCGTCGGCGACAAAGATGGTGCGGTCCAGGGGCTCGGCGTCGCCAACAGCTCGCCTGCCCCTCCGCTGCGCATCCTGGTGGTCGTCGGGGGGGGGGGGGGGGGGGGCACCTTCGCCCTTCCCAGCGGCCACTGACCTGCGGCACTCCAAGAAATCCTCGGCCTCGCCCATGTTGGACCCCTTGGCCTCCAGCGCGCTGTCGCTGGCCGTGGCTGTAGACTTTGGCGGTGGTGCCGATGATGCTGGTGCTTGGCCTTCCGTCTTCTCCTCCTGGGTCTTCTCCGCTTGGTCCGCTCTGCGCTTCTTGAACGCCTGCGCGACGATGGCGCGGTTCTCCTCTGCCTGTGTGTTCGCCTCCTGCAAGTGCTCTGCGGACTGCCCTTTGAACGTGAGCGCCGTTCTCTTGAGCTCCTCCAAGACCTGCTTCTTGGGGTTGTCGACCGCTGCTCTTCCTTCTGCGCCCATGTCGTCATCGTACTTGAAGTGTTCCTCGAGCGCGGAGAACTCAAGGAGAACTCGATCTCGGACGGGTGCGCGACGTCCGCGTCCGCCTCCAGGATCGCGTCGAAGATGCTCTTGTTCTTCTCCATGCCCTCGGCCTGGATGGTCTCGATGAGCTGTTCCGCCTTCAGCACCTCGTCGTCCCTCAGGTCAAGCGCTTCGTTGGCTGGTGTCGACTTGGCTTTTGCCTGCTGCTTAGTTTCGAATGCCCTCTTGTACCGCTTGCTTGCCTCCTACAGCGACCTTGCCGCCTCCGAGAATCGCAGTGTGTTTGACTTCGTTTGCGCTGGCGTTGCCGACGGACTCGCTGCCTTTTCTAGGATTGGGGCCGCTCCTTCAAGCTGCTTGGCGATCCCGACCTCGTCCGAGGTCGCCAGCTGCATTGTGCCGAGTGTCGACGTGACGGTCTTGAGGGCCGTCGCGAGTTGTTCCACGTCGTTCTTCTGCTAGCCGATGGCGTTCTTGCCGCCCTGGGCCCTCGGGTCGTACCTGATGTTGTGGTAGCTCGCGTACTGGCCCTTGCCACTGCCGTAATTGTCGCCGTAGTCCGCTGCAGACGTGTGTTTACGTCTCTTTGGACGGGCGATACGGCATCCACATGTGCACCAAGAGTCATTCTCGCATAGCTGCTTATTCAAGGACCACTGCTGCTGGCAGCGCTTGCACCTGCTCCAGTCGTCCTGCTTCGGCGCCATGCTGCCGTGGTGGGAATCGAGCAATTGTCGTAGTTGTTCAGCTCGCAACCACCTGCGGGCTGGGCCTCGTGCCCGTCTGAGGCGCCTGTGCCAGGCGGGCGAAGGAGGCCTCTTCAGGCCTCGGCGGTCCCCCGTGGGCCTGGGGGCTCTCGATGGCGCGGGCCCCGCGGCGCCAGCAGGAGGAATAAGAGCTCCCAGAGGACCGGATGCACGAACAGCAGCAACAAGCAGCCCAGAGGAGTAGCAGGAGGAGTAACAGGAGGATGAGAAGGAGCAGGTGAAGGAGGAGCAGGTGAAGGAGGAACAGCAGGAGCAGCAGTAGGAACAGCAGCAAGAGGAACTGGAAAAGGGGCAGTACGGATTTACGGAGGAGCAGGGGGCGCGAAACAAAAAAAGCAGCAGCAGGGAAGCAAAAGAGAACACGCCGCCACGGGAGACCCGCACGCCAGCTCCCGAAGGGAACAGGGAAGGATTTGAAGAGGGCCCTTGGACAGCTCCTCCGTGGGTTCGTCTGGGGCTCGTCCCAGGGCAGGTTGGGAGGCGAAGCCCCTCGGTGCTCCCCGGCGGCCGCCCGGCCGTTTTGCCAGGGTCCGCCAGGGTGCGCGCTGGAGGCTTCGTCTACCCAGTGAGAGGAGCGCTCGGCTGGCCACTCTCGCGGCAGGAGGAGCAGCAGGGGCAGAAGGAGGAACGACGAAGGAACAAGAGAATGGAGGAGCCGCAGCAGCAGCAGCAGGGAGCGGGAGGCCCGGGCGGAGCAGCAGGGGGAGCAGCAAGAGACGTATCACGAGCAGCAAGCAGCCGGAGCAGCACCTGGAGGAGCACCAGGAACAGCCGGAGGAGCAGCGGGAGCAGCTGCACGCGGAGCGGCAGGAGCACGACATCCAAAGAATCGTGGCCGCCCGTTCAAGATGCAGGGGAGCCCAGAATCGAATCGATGGGTCGGATCGGCGATCGAAATTCGTCGGATCGGCGGAGATCGGCAGCCGAGTCGGGAAAAGTCGACCCGGCGGAAATCGGCAGGCGAGGATGCGCGCAACAGGAGGTCAGGGCCCAGATCGACATCCGAACCCGAATCGACTCGGACTCGGAGGCCGCCGAGCTCGAATCGGATGGCATCGGAGGCATCGAAAACGCGCACTGAAGCTGTAGCCGACATGGGGGCCATGGCACGGCTATCAGCATATATGTTATATAGAGGAGGGGGACGAGGAGGAGGAGGAGGAGGAGGAGGAGGAGGAGGACGAGGAGGAGGAGGAGGGGAGGAGGAGGAGGAGGAGGAGGAGGAGGAGGAGGGGAGGAGGAGGAGGAGGAGGGAGGAGGAGGAGGAGGGGGGGGGGAGGGGGAGGAGGAGGAGGAGAGGAGGAGGAGGAGGAGGAGGAGGAGGAGGAGGAGGAGGGAGGAGGAGGAGGAGGAGGAGGAGGAGGAGGAGGAGGAGGAGGAGGAGGGGGAGGAGGGGAGGAGGAGGAGGAGGAGGAGGAGGAGGAGGAGGAGGAGAGGAGGAGGAGGAGGAGGAGGAGGAGGAGGAGGAGGAGGAGGAGGAGGAGGAGGAGGAGGGAGCGGGGCCGCCCAGGCCACACAGGCAGCCAACCACGGGGGCGAGCACGGGATCCCCGGAAGACGCTGCGGAGACGCCTCGGGGCGCAACGGCTGCCGGACCGGACGTCCCAGGGCGCCCCGTCCCCCCCCCCTTGCAGGGGCTCCTCCGTGGGCTCTGTTCCTTCCTCTGTGAGGCCCTCCAGCGAAAAAAACTGTTGGGGGTAGGTGTGCCTTCCCTCCTGGATCCTCGATCACGCTTCTCTTTCATGGACAGAGTGGGAAATGCCTGCTGAAAGGCCCAAGGAGGTATCGCGAGGCCTGGGTTCAAGGGAAGGCATCAAACTGTGACCCTCGATCCTCTTCCACACCTCACCGCTCATGGTTCCTCAGTCCTGGACCCTCGAGCCTGGATCCTCGATGCTGGGTCCTCGGTCCTGGTCGCCCTCGATCCTGGTCGGCCTCCATGCTGGTCACCCGATCCTGGCCACCCTCGATGCTGGCAACCCTGGCCACCCTCGGCCCTGGACCCTAGATCATGGATCTTCCTCCTCCTC